CTGTTCTTCTCCTCAAATATTATGCTGGCTACTCTGAGTCGTTTGCCTTTCATATAAATCTTAGAATCAATTTGTTGATATTCACAAACTGATATGCTGGAGTAGCTTGCTTTTTAAGCTAAACATTTTGCATTTGCGTTTTAAATTCAAAAATATTTTTTACTTTTGTGCTTGTTCCAAAGCCATTCCCCTTATAACTTTTCTTTCATGGGTGGTCATCAGAATTTTTATCGTAACCAATACAGTGTTTAAGTAATTGTCATAATAGGAAGCGATTATGTGATATGTAACTATCTCTGTGGTATGGAAAACTGTACATGAATAGATGCCTATAATGCGCATGTACATTCAAGTCTGTGACTGTCTAGTAATTTTCATCCTTAGAGACCTCTTCTGGGGTTGAGGGTGCTGGAGGCAACTCCTGCAGATTTCACCAGGATCATTTTTGAGCACGTCTTCCTGTAGAGACTCTGAAATACCCTGCTTGTTGGAAACCACTCTGTATTTTGAAGGATATTTCTATTAGAAATGTTGTACATAAAAACACAGTGGAAACAGAAAGAAAAGCTGAGAACTGCTGTTATCAAGAAATGAGCCCAAACACATTGCTTTTTTAATTTTTAATTTTAAAAATGTGGGGTACAATTTAGGGTTAGGTATACTAATGATCATTATACAGGTAAAGTTTGGGTCTGGGTCCCCACCTCACCTGGTTTGAGATTTGCACCCTTATTGACGAAATGCTCTCTCCCCACCCCCGGCAGTTTCTTACTACTGCCAGGCCCTTTCTTCTAGCATGATGATAATTGTTCAGTGTCCCTTTATGTGTGAGAACATGTGGTACTCGGTTCTTTGTTTTTGTGATAGAGCACTCATTATTATAGACTGTAAGTCCATCCAAGTTGCTGCAAAGTTCATAATTTGTCCTTCTTTATGGTTGCATGATATTCCATTATGTATATGTACCACATTTTTAAAATCTAGTCCACTTTTGATGGGAGCATGGTTAGTTCCATGTTTTAGGTATTATGAATAGCGCTGCAATAAACATGCATGTGCAGGTATCTTTTTCACAGGGTTTTGTTCTTTCGGTATATTCCCAGAAGAAGGATTTCTGGGGTCATATGGAAGGCCAAATTTTAGGTCTTTTAGGAATCGCCACACTATTTTCCATAAAGGTTGTACTAGTTTACACTCCCACCAATAGTGTAGAAGTCAAACATATAGCTTTAAGGGTTATACTCACTTGTGTATTGTTGACTGAATTTAACTTTATTTTATAATGGTCCAGAAGTGTTTTTTTTTTTTAAGTTAGAGTCTCACTCTGTCACCCAATCTGGAGTGCAGTGGCATACTCGCCACCACAGCCTCGACCTGCTGGGTTCAGGCGATCCTTCTACCTCAGCCTTCCAAGTAGCTGGAGCTACAAGCATGTGCCACCATGCCCAGCTAATTTTTTTTATTTACTGTAGAGACGAGGTCTTGCCATGTTGCCCAGGCTGGTCTTGAATCCCCGGACTCAGGCAGTCCTCTCGCCTCAGCCTTCCAAACTGCTAGAATTGCAGGCTTGAACCACCACACTGTCCGGGAGTCTTAAGAGCATGAAGGTGATGGTAATTGTTTTATTAAATATACTGGTTGTCGTGTTATAGAATAAGCCAACTATAAACACTGATGTTTATTTTGTATTTGTACTTCAAGAGAAAGAATACGCATACTAACTTTTAGATTCCCAAATGTTAGTTAACTTAGGTCTAACTTTATTGTTATTAGCAGTTAGGGTTTACTAGATTTATATTCTAAGAATGTTTAATATAACATCGGGTGTTTTTTCTAATTGGTAATTCAATGCCTGAATTTTTATTTTTTTGATTTGGAGTTTCACTCTGTCACCCAGACTGGAGTGCAGTGGCATGCTCCTGGCCACCGCAGCCTTGTCCTGCTGGGCTCTGATGAGCCTTCTGCCTCAGCCTTCCAAGTAGCCCGAACTACAGGCGCATGCTACCACACCCAGCTAACTTTTGATTTATTGTATAGGGGAGGTCTTGCCAAGTTGCCTGGGCGGGTCTCGAACCCGCGGGGTCAGGCAATCCACTCACCTCGGCCTCCCAAAGGCATGAGATTACAGGCTGAGCCGCCAAGCCCGTCTAGAGTAAGTTTTAAGAATACAATTCAGGCTGGGCTCAGTGGCTCAGTCTGTAATCCTGTACTTTGGGAGGCCGAGGTGAGTGGATTGCCTAAAATAACTTATTTTTTAAAATCACATATCACCAAGATGAGGTGGTTTTGTGACTGAACTTTCAATCAGTAGAGCTGTTCATTGTTACTTTTTTATTAATAAATCCAACAAGCATTTATTAAACACTTAATAAGAAATATACTTGAAAGAAATTATTTGATTAGAAACATTTGTTTTTCAAAACATTTTAAGTTTTCAGACTTGGAATAATTTTATCCAGGAAGATAACTCAGAAATGAAGATTTTCGTATAATTTGTGGCTTTATCGACAAATTTCTTAAACATCTGCAATTGTGATTCCTAGGGATATTTGGGTGTGCTTGATTTTGAGGGAAGTAGAAGACAGTAAAGCAAGTTATTTGAGAGGTCATTTTAACTAAAGTTGTTTTCTTTTTAAGAAAAATGTTCAAGTACTAAAATGTCTTCTAGAAAATGTGTACCTTATCCAAATTTAAAAAAAAATTTTTTTTTTTTTTGAGAAAGCAGGATTTATTGAGAGGACAGAGAAGCTCCCATGGTAGGAGGGGACCTGAAGGGGTTGCCTGTCTGAGGCCGAAAACCTGGTACTTTTATAGCCTTGAGTCCAAGCTGATTGGCTACCCCTGTTATAAAAGAGTCTTGTTTAGTTACATGTATTATAATGTTAATGCCAGAGACACTGTTAACTGTTATGATCTGTGACTCTCAACTAGAGACTTAATAGTCTTGGTTAAAGGAAAGAATATGGTTTGTATCTACCATCTTATTTCAAATTATAGTACTCTTAATGATCCAAAGTAATTTTTTAAAAATTTAAGACCTCCTTTTTTCACAATGACATTTGTTAACACACTCCTCCTTGATAATACACAATGTTGGATCATGATCAGAATAAACAGACAAGCGATTGTTTAACATCATATGCACTGTGTTCTGAGGGCTGTGAATTTATGTTTTGAATTGCATTTGTTATATAATTTCTAGAATACATAAGGTATCTTAACTTGTGTGATACAACAATGTGTATCTTAGGTGTAATGTTAATAGTTTGCAATAATCTTTAGATCAGTTTTACAAATTTGTGTATCTTGATCTGCTATGTTTGGTGGAATAGGTTTTAAAAAAATATTTGACAAAAATTTTGTCGTAAGTTTTGACTTTTCATATTTGGGATGCAGGCAGCACTTCCTGTTATGAGCACATGTGGGATCGTAGCTGTGCGACTGTGTTCTGCTGGCCCTCAAGGAGAGGTCATTTGCAGGGAGCACGTGGGCAGGGCAGTTTCTGGAGACCAGGATGAGGCTAAGAAGGTCAGACTTGCGGGTTCTCCAGGAATATTCTAGGCCAAAGAGGGTAACATGAGCCAGAGCTGGAAGATAGGAGACACCACATTGTACCAGAGGCTAGAAGGTGAAGATGACTAGGCAGATAACACATGAGAAACCGAGTCGATGCCAGGTGGGCAGGTGAACAGCAGGTGAGTCTGTACTGGAGGCAGTACTGTGTGTTCCTTTTAGGCCAAGCCAATGGCACCACTGTCCCTTGAGTGACTCAAATAAAAATCCTGTAAGTCATGGTTCATTCCTTCCTGTCACCTTGACATCGAGTCCACGCACATGGCAAGTCTCACATCCTTTCTTTCCCTGCTGTGCCATTGCCTCGTCCTCATTGGCCTCCACCCTCCCTCCCGCTCCCTCCCTGACTCTGCATTTGCCCTTTGCCAGTCTGTTCTCCAGAGGCACCAGAGAGATTTTTATTAAGAGAAAGCCACATCCCATCCCTCTATGCGTTCACACCTTCCCCTGAATTTTAATCACATTGGGAACAAACTCTGATCTCCTTGCCAAGTCCTGAAAGGCCTTCTGTGATTCTCTGCTGGCTCCACCTCAGGCCACCCCAGTCCCGCTCCTCCCTGGAGCTCCAGGCATACTGATCTTTTGTTTCTCAGACACGCACGTCCAGTCTCGTGTCTTCTGTTCCTTGTGCTTTTCCTTGCTGCCTCCTTTCATCATTCAGGCCTGAGATGCAGCCTTCTCAGCGAGGCCTTCCTCGTACTTTCCTAGCAGCATTGTCTTTCAATTCCCTTGTCCCATTCCGGTTGTGTTTATTTGCATCTGTTTTATTGCCTTCATTGCATCTGAGTATCTGATTAGAATCCATTCAGTAAATATGTACTGTGCACCTAGTGTATGCCAGGCACTGTTCTAGGCACTTGGGAGTCACCATCAAGAGAAAAGACAAAAGAGAATCCCTGCTCTTGGCTGGGTGCTTCTAATCCCAGCATTTTGGGAGGCCAAGGCGGGAGGATTGCTTGAGCTCAGTTCAAGACCAGCCTGGGCAACAAAATGGACCTTGTCTCTACAAAGATACAAAAATTATCCAGGCTCAGTAGCAAGTGCTTGTAGTCCCAACTACTCAGGAAGCTGAGGTAGGAGGGTCACTTGAGCCCAGGAGGTCACAGGCTGCAGTGAGCCACGAGTGTGTGCCACTGCACTCCAGCCTGGGGGACAGAGTGAGACACCGAGTCAAAGGAAAAAAAAAAAGAATTCCTGTTCTTAAGGAATTTGCATTAGTAGGGTAGAGAGAGGAACAGTACACAGTAAACATGATATGTAACTAAATTATAAATTTGTGAGGCAGTAAGTTAGGAGGTGACAAGTGTCATAGACAAACTGGAGTATGCTGTTGGGGACTGGGCAGGATGCGGACTAACAAGGTAGCTTTGGCTTCGGAGGCCTGTGAGCTGATGATTAATGTAGGGTTCTCTTGATTCTTTTAGCTTCAGCACCAGTCAGCAAAGTGAATAAGTACTGTGCTTCTTCCAACCTTCACCCCACTTGGAGGAAAAAGAACAGCATCATGTCAAACATCACGATTGACCCGGATGTCAAGCCTGGCGAGTATGTCATCAAGAGCCTCTTTGCAGAATTTGCTGTTCAGGCCGAAAAGAAAATTGAAGTTGTAATGGCTGAACCCTTGGTGAGTAGAATTGACCTAGAAATCTGAAATATTTTCTTGGCTTTGTATTAACCAGTATAATATAGGAAATCATCTACTCGAAAAAATATGAAGGTCATAGTGATGGTGTAGACAGCTGCAGGGACTGATATGTCACTGCAGGTCACAAAAGAACCAAAATGGACTTCACCAGTGAGAACTGTGGAGACAGAGAAACTGTAACAGGAAATAATGGAGAATTTAGGATATACTGCTAGTTGACGCTAAGACCATGGCCAAACTTACAATAACCCAGCGAACATATGTTTAAGCTTATATTCCAGGAGGTATGCTTGGAGATGCTAGGAGCTCTGTGCGATTGGAGCCTGTGGTGAGGAGAAGGGAAGATAAAGATGGAAAACAAATGTTTAAGTCAGTTTCCAAAGAGTCATACACGCTAATGTGGTAGAGAATGTCGTGGTTGACGATGAAGGGGAGAGGAAGTTGAGGGAAGAGGCTGTTTGGATATAGTACATAGTTCAGACTGGGATGAAAGAGGCTTGAGTGAGGGCCCTGGTGGTGAAAATGGTTGCAGAGGGAGCAGCAGAATCAACAGACCTTGACAGGTAATGAAATAGGGCAGTCTTCTGAGTGACAGTTAAGGATCAGGTGTTCTGAGGTGTTAGCGAAGATGGTAATGTATTTACTTGGGTAAGGTCCAAAGGGAATATCTTCGGGGTAGAAAAGGTGAATAAGATAATTTTCATTGGTGTACACGAAGCTTAAGATCCTGGTGATCTGACCATGTGGAACTGCTTGATCAGCAGTCAGAAATTCTTTTTTGATAATTCAAGAGATGGTGACTTGAAATATAGTTTTTGAATCATCGATGTAAGGGTGAACATTGAAGCCAGAGTTGCAGATGATGACATCAAGGGAACGAGAATGGAAAATAGAATCATTGTTGAGGGAGAGAGTGCAGTGCACAGTGGGGGAAGCGGCTCCTGAATTTGGAAATGAAGCAGCCTGGTGTCTTAGAGAACAGGTTATAACTTCAGGAAGTGACTTGGAAAGTACAAGTAGCAGCTAGGTTACTCTTTGGGATTGAAGGGTATGGAGATGTAGTATTCCCAGACCAGTGTACACCAGTGTCGGCTGGAAATGGGATGATGGCGATGGAGGTGAAGATGGAGGATGTGAAAGCTGAAACTCACCTGCTTCTCACTCAGCAGGAACAGGGATGGGTCTTCACCACCAGTTTGAGATTCAGAGTGTTTGTTACCTGCCTGCAACACAAGGCCAGAGAGTGGCTGAGTGGAGCATTAGGCGCAATAGCGTTGGTTCTAGAACCGAGAGGCAAACTGGACCTGACTCTGGTCCTCAGAAGGAAGAGGGAAGGGGAGGAGGGATTGTCGTGCTCTTCATTTTCTTGGGGAAGCAGGAAATTGCTGATTGGGAAGGTGAGTTTCTTTCTGATGATTAAGTAGAGAAAGCTCTGAGGATAGCATCTGTGCCATAATAATAGGTAAATATCTCTAGCCAAATGTATATTTCAAAACTGTGAAGATGAGTATATTCAAGTTAAATCATTTTGTGATTGCTTTCTGCATAACAAATTATATACCAAATAACAAATTTTATACCTATATCTATATATATGGATGTACAGTAGATATATTAATATAAAGTTCTGTTGTAGAAATAAAGATTACAATAGCTTTATAGTTATGAATTAATGATTATAAGACTTGATTATAAATGTGCTTAATCTACAAAATGTGAGTTTTGTTTTTTAATGGTCTCTGAATTGTATGCTAAAAAGCTACACCAGCCTATGTAAACAGCATACAGTAAGACAGGGAACAGCTTTAAAAAAATACATTAAAAAATTTACTATGGAAAATGTCAAACATATATCAAAGTAGAGATTATGTTATAATGAACACTCAGGACTCATCACCCAACTTTACTTTTTAAAAATGCTTTGTTAAAAATAAATGCTGTTTTATAAAATACCTTATAGCAGTATCATGTGGTATGGTTGTACTAGTTCTCAAATATTATGTATTCTTTGAAATGTAAAGACTTTTAGAGTAAAAGTGTTAAAATATGAATGAAATTATCTAATTTGACTGAGTCTATAAAATAGTAAATTTTTCATCTTTCTCCTTCCTTTTCCTTCAGTGCCATTGTTACTGTCCTAGTTCAGATTCAAGTTCTGTCCTGCTAGACCATTGCAGTAGCCTACTAGCGTGTCAAGAAGTGGCCCATCACCTTTCTATATTCCTCTCACTAGACTTTTCTTCATCTAAAACACAAATATTATCACCTTTCTGCTTTAAAAATCTTGCTCACTTTTCATTGCTGTGGAATAAATTCAAGTTCTAGGTAGGTCATTCTTATGATTTCCCCATCCTAATGTATGCTGTGATGCTTACAGTGTCCTCTTTAGATTCCTTTGTCCTGGTGTGTGTGGTCTTATTTTTCTCTCAATCTAAAATTCTTTTAACTCCTGTTTTTTAAAACTCTACTTATCCTTCCAGACTTCCCATCTGTTCCCTCTAACATAGTCAGCCCTCCCCCAAGCCAAATAAGTCTGTGTTTTACCATAACAATTTGCACATAACTCCTAGATTATGACAATGTCATGGTGTGGTTAGGTACTTACATGTTTATCTCCTCTGATGTGAGTTCTTTTATACCAGGAACCAGGTCTCTGTCTTGCCTGTCTCTGCAGCACTGTACTGGTGTTGGATACTTAGTCGAAGGTATTTAGTCATATTTAGCCTTAAGAGTATACTTAGTTGAATTTAGCCTTAAAAGACATTGTGGTGGTTGTGTGCCTTTTGTTCTTCCTGTAAAACATAATGTCATTCTTCTAGCCAGAGCTTCTAGTAATAGTTCTTTCAGGATAGCCTGATGCTGACTATATCTTATTCATTTATTTAACAGATAATTTTAAAGACATCTGCTGTATAGTCTAAGATGAGATGATAACATTATGGTTGTAGTGTTGAGGATTTCCTAGAACATAGATGTTTCAGCCCCATCCTCACCGACAGAGAGGAGACATCCCTGCTTCTCTTCCTGATACACCCAGTCAGCCCCCAAGTCACCATCACATTTTATAGGTTTTTTCCCTTCCTCTCCTCCAGCAGAATTTCTTCTTTTCTGGACCACAGCTCGCCAGCTTTGTTTTATTTATGTGCAGATCTGGCTAGATTGGAAATCTATAGCATCGAGATGGGATAATGAAAGTACATCCAGTGCCTTTATTGTATTTTCATTTATTTTGAAAGTTAGTCTGTACTCTCTTAGGTAATAGACAGCCATTCAAGATGCTCTCTGGGTTCTTGTGAAAGTCTTGCAGAGTCACTTTAAACGAAGTCACTTCTGGCGCTTTTTGACCCTAGAAAGCTGGCAGGGCTCCGTTCTGTCAGCAGATTCTGTAGAAACTTGGAAGCATAACACGTTTTCACTGAAAGCGTTTAACATACCACCATATGTGAGAGTTGGCATTTTCATTCTTACCTGAGAAACCATCATAGAAGGAGGCCAAAAGATTTGAAGATCAGCTGAGCCTGACTTTCGCCACAATTTCATTTTCATTCTCCAAGGAAGATTCCAGAAGGGCCATCAGTGACTGAATTCCAGTTTGCAAACTATGCAGTCCAATGCCTCTATTTCTTTCTTCGTAGAAGGGGATGGATTAGTTCTCAGCAGCGACCCCGGCATATCTGCATTGATGTTGATCTCAGAGTGCTGGTGGCCAGAGGAGAAAGAAAGGTGTTAACTCACCCAACTGAGATCTTGGGCCCAGTGTTTAAAAACTCTGCAATCACCACTGATTTTTTTAGAGTATTAAGTATATGCATGTTTAAAAAGAGTTTCTTCTCCCTGAGTGACTTGTTTCCTCTAAGCTTCATTTCTCCATTAGCTCTGCCTTCCCCTCACATGTTTATTTGAACATGTTGGATCTTTCTTTTTTGAGTTGGAGTCTCACTCTGTCACTCAGGCTGGAGTGCAGTGGCACGCATGTTCACGGCCACCCCAGTGTTGACCTGCTGGGCTCCAGCGATCCTCCCAACTCAGCTTTTCAAGTAGCTGGAACTACAGGTGCATACTACCATGCCTGGCTAATTTTTTTGTTTTATTGTAGAGACGAGATCTTGCCAAATTGCTCAGGCTTGTCTCGAACCTGAGGGCTCAGGCAGTCTACTCATCTTGGCCTCCCAAAGTGCTGGGATTACAGGCTGAACCACCGAATCTGGCCACATGTTGGATCTTAAGACAGAGGCACCCCACAGCAGGTCGGAAGTGCAGTACGTGTGGACAAGCCTTGTTGACTGTGGTCTTGGGTGTGATATCACCCGTGGCCCATCTAGGTCCGATCTCTTTCTGGGGCTTGTCAGAGTTTTCAGAGGAGTTGCCTGCACCCCCTGAATGGGAGCATTAGGCCTTGACTGCTGGCGTTCTGGGTGCTAGACTCAGAGGATAATGGGGCCTTGGACACTTGGTATGTAGGTGCTCACTGACCCTCCCTGTCTCCAGTGTGGGACCTTATCTCCCACCTGGCAGCACCTTCCTAACCAGTCCTCTCCTGAGAAGGGCACTTCTCTGTGGGTGAGGTGGGAACCTTGCTGAAACTATCTTAAAACGTTCTCTCAGCCAGCCCTCTTTTTTTAGCCATACTTTCAGAGTACCAGATTCTCCTATTCCTGGGCCTGTGGGAATTCCAAAGTGTTGACTAGGGTCAGCCTTCCTTCATGCTCTGCAGAGTGCCCTCAGGTGTCATCTGCATGGTCATGTTCAAGATCTCAGTCCTTATTCCAAATTCTGTGTATACATGGTAGAGGGGATGATATACACACATTTTAAGTATGATGTTCACAAATGTGTATACATTTTTGACACCTTCTATACACACACACACACACACACACACACACACAAAACACCATATATATAATTCTTTTCTCTATACATAGACTTTTAAATTTTTTTTTTTTTTGAGTTGGAGTCTCACTCTGTCACCCAGACTA